TACCTCATTTTTGAATTTTACACGAATCTGGAGTGGAAGATGCCCACAGCTAGGTCGCCTGCCACACTCTCCAGTCAGAATATGGGTCCCTCCCTCCGTACACCGAACCACCAAATTTCACGCGTCGTTCTCCCCTTGATCTAATTCAACCTTACCCGGTGGCGCGGTGATTATTCATTCCTAACGCCGACAAAAACGTTCTGGGTTAAAAATATTCACGTGCCACGACTTTTGGTATCTGAAGCACCAGATTTGTAAGTATCAGCGTGTTTCAGAAACAGGGGCAGTGATACCGCGGTCAATCCCTGCTGTTCCCACTCCAGTGCCTTGTGTCCGAAAACGAACTTACCGACAAGGAACACAACAGCTTTATTGCGAAAACTGGTTGAGTGCGAACGCAAAGTTACAATGGCCCCGCGCTATTTAATGGGCTCCTTTTGACATTGATCCAGGCTGTCTGATAGGCACTTGGTAAACACTCATCAATATATATATATATATATATATATATATATATATATATATATATATATATATATATATATATATATATATATATATATATATATATATATATATATATATATATATATATATATATATATATATATATATATATATATATACCTGGCACTGACGGTTTACGTGCTAGAAGATATTCAGGCTCTCTGGAGAGTTCTTATCTGCTTTGTCAAAAAATAACTTGCAGAATCGATAAATCGAGCGTGTGATTACGAACTTTGCCAGGACGCGATGATCATGTGTGTGTACACCGTCCACCGAAGTAATCTGTTCTTCTTTAGTAGATAGCATTTTTCAGACTCCATAGGTGAGACCGATCCGTCTGCTACTTTACAAACATTCCTTTATTTCCGCTCCAGTGACAGTATGCAGTCACGTGAGTTGGTATAGATTTTTCATGCAAAACTCCATGTAAAAATGCGCATATTCAGACGTAACACACTACTCACAAGTTGCTGAAAACTACTTGAGGTAGCCCATCATAAACGAGAGATCCAGATAAATTTATTTAAGTCCCACACCAAACAGCTTTTGAATTTTCAACGAACTAAAGATTCACCCAAACGAAGGTGGATAAATTGAAGGCAGTCTAGTCGACTTTGGGTGATTTCATTGCACTGAAAATTTTTCGCAAGATAGGCACATCTAACTTGTTACAGAGTCTTCACCGTCATGCTGATCTCTGATGGAGTTCTTGTAAGTGTCTACCGAAAGCCTAATACCCGGGAAAGAAGAAATAAGTTTTGACCGAAAACACAACGACAGTTTTCCTGATGTTTGATGTCTTTGCGTTAAAAAAAGAACACAAAAAACTTGTACCAGTTTTTTAGAGGAGCGCCAAAGTTCACCTTCATGCACTGGGTCGATTCTTGCGACAACATAACTGACAAGCGTCAACAGGATAGTTGGCTGAAGTCAGTCCGGTCCTTCGTTGTCCCACGGGACGCAGTTTTGTACTGTAGTCTCTGACTAACTTGTGCTCCAAGTGTAAAAGAATGCTGTGATACCCATATTCTAGGACCAGATTTGAAGGGGAGTGGGTGAGTTATTCTCGGGACATTCACAACTATGGGTGATATTGAAGGATCTTCAGGCGATGTGACTGCAGTGCCTCGTCCTAGCACCGCTCCATCGAATAGACCGATGCTCAAGAAATGGGGACAAAGATCAGAATACTGAAAACGGGGAAAAGTGCAGTGATGAATGACATTCAAAAGTACACCCATAATCACGACCTAATAAACGAATTATGCAAACTGTGACGCTGTCAGGAAGCAGTGTCGCTGGTAGGAACTATTAGATTTATTGTCCACTCACTTCGATTGCTATGGCTTATATTCCGTTTTCTGCTCATCTGGAACGGGTAGTGCAAGGGCACACAACGTTTCCGAACATTTTCACTGTCTAGCCTGCCCAAAGTATTCTCGAGTTGTACACAACTGATAGGGGTAATGTTGCCTGGGACCAATTGCTTTTTCCCCTCATCGATTAGTTACCCGCACAATAGCCTACGAGTCTTACGTCAGTGTATACTCAACATAGTCTTGTCTGCCAATCCTAAAGTCGATTTGAAGGCGCCAAAATCAAAGAAGACAGGTTTCAGCTATCCGAAAGAACCATTCCAAATCATCTCCACTCTCAGTGGATTCTACTCATGAGGAGTGAATGGCTGTTTCGTTCAGGACTGATAGAATTCCCCTTTTTTTCTGTTGAATACGTTTCACCTCAACGGCTCACACACTCTGTCGAGACCGGTAAAAGTGTGCATTTTGTTGTGGAGTAATCGTGGTTTTTATCCAAAAGTTCACCACCGGAAGTACTGTGTTCGATGAGGTGCGAAGATATGCGACTACTCATGAGAAATAAAGTAGTTCATTTACTTTGCTAAGTAGGGGACGTTGCATGATGAGAACATGTTGCGAAAATGACCACAAACTTAGCGAATATCCACTCATTTGCAAACTGCTTTGGTTTTTTCGAGAGACTCACCCGGAACACAGCTAAATCTCTCGTATTTGATGTTCTCAGGCAACTGAATGTGCTGCACCAGGCCGCCTCAGATTTCAGTCGCTACGATATTCCAGGTATAAAGCGCGTTCAGCTGTAGCCCCCTTCCGGTGCCTAGCTGCCATGCCACCCGACATCATAAATGAGAGATTCAGCTGGGTTCCAGGTGATGCGTTTGAAAGAGCAAATTAGTTTTTCAAATGAGTGTACATTCGCTAATTTAATGCAATTTGGTTTCAAGTAGAATATACTGTTGACGGAAATCCGGGGACTGTGCCTACCTGGTGAGCCCCAAGAAGGGCGAAACCCGTCGTGGGCTGTCGACGGATTTTCAGCAACCTTGTGAGTAGTACATTAGAAGGACCATAAACTTTTTATGAACTTGTCCGTCTATTCTGTAACAAGACACAAGTAGAGGAAATTTGCTCCACAGTAGATGCCGTTTTATACCACATGAAAAGCTTAAACGAACGTTTTTCAAGATGGCCTCCCTAGGTTCTGCAAGTCTAAAGGTCATGTCTCGCGCCTCACACATGACTCGGAAGCTGATATGTGCGTGCACTTTGCGTCCGCTCCCCAGTGCAAATAACAAAGAAACTGAACTTTTATGGTCTATACAGAGAGGACCATGGAAGGCAACAGCATATACATTGTGTCCAAGGGTGCTTATTGGCGCCTTAAATGGCTGACTGCAGCGGACGTGCGTCCCGCTGACCGATGAATGATCTGTGAAACTCGGGGCCGAATCGAATCGATGAATCGCGGCCAAAAGCGATTTTCTAATTGCTAACTGCAGTGGTTTACAATCAGATAGTAGGGAGGTGTTCCTTTTTAAGGGCAGTGAGACATCTAGCGGCTCTTCGGACGTATGCGGAGGGCAATAGGGTGTATGCACATGCACCGCTTTCTCCATTTTTTAAGTGTAATACAAACTATTCGCTCGAGGAGGTTGATTATTTGTCTTGTCTGTGAGTAAGTAGGTCAAAAAAATGCAAAACCTTTTTTTCTTTATTCAGACCGAGTTACCTTCAAGGAACCCCAGTTTCCAAGACACTTCAGAAGCCTCGTGGTTCCCATCCCATCGTACTCCACAACAATATCACGGTAAGTTCCTAAGAAATAATTTTCCGGCGACCGTTTGGAAGAGTCACATCTCATGACCGCTGAGGTAGCGGTGTCACGTGTCAGACAGGTGAAATCATTTTGTGACGCCGTGATCCACATTGCGGGCCTTCGATGCATACATAGTGGTCTAATTGACCTACATACTGTGTCGTAAATCCCAGTATAGTCATTTCGATACGTTTTCCGCGGGAAATAATAAATAAATAAATAATAATAATCATCGTTCAGCTGTAACAGACTTCCGATGCCTAGCTGCCATGCCTCCAGAGGGAAGCACGAGGGCTGGGATACTCCCAAGTCGCCCAAGCTTAGGTAGGGGAAGTCGAGAGGCAGAGGTCAGGTTCGAACCACGGATCAGTAAATTTGCGCTCTAACCACTTGAGTCATCTCGCCCCGCGGGAAAACTCACATCCGAATTGCATGTCAATTTTGGTTGT